TCGTGTGTCTCCATGTGGTCTGCAGCAGCTCCACAATGTCTTCCGTCCCAGCCTCCCCGATGATAGGCGGGGGGAATGACACCGAGACCAGTAGCTCCCAGAGGCAACGGGAAGCTGAGCCGTTGCGCGTCTCATCCCAGTCCCAACTCGTTGATTCTGCTGGGCTGGAGAGCTGCGGGAATGCAGCGTGGGCAGGAGGCTCCACGCACCTCGGCACAGGGAGGGCCGACCTCTCAACACTGGCCGCGGTCCGGCACCTCTGGACGGCAGGCGCAGGGGAAAGAAAGCGGAGACCAGAGTTCCAGCACCCGACCCGGATCTCTGCTGAGTCTTCCTGCGTCTGGACATGGCTCACGATCTCAGGTAAAGTCGGCTGAAAGAGGTTGAGGACACGGAGCTCCAGTAGAACACATGCTTACTCTGCCATACCAGACCACGCCCCCCGTTTTCTATTTTCTATTGTGAATAAAATATGGGTTTATGAGATTTGAAAATCAATGCATTCAGTTTTTTAAGTAGATTTTACAGAGCGTCCCAACTTTTTTGGAATTGGGGTTATAGACCATAAATGATGCCTAAACAAAGATATTGCTGTCCTTCTAAATAGAAAAGAAAATTAAGGCATTGTCTGGGAAATACTGTGATCTCCATGATCTCTCTTTAAGTGTTATACCTACACATTACTTAGCATGCATGCCCTTAACATGGCGAGCACACCTGATATTGGAGGTTAAAATAAACTCTTCAGAATAGAATTATAATAACTACTAATGTTTAGACAAGTAGATGGTGAAATATCCTGGAGCTTACCTGTCATCTGCCTCCACACACTAAGGGTTTATTTACCAAAAGAGTAGAGGCTTTTCACCTTCTAAAGTGAAAGTTTACTAAACTTAGTAAAGCTGGGTGAATGAAGGAAAACACAGCTTCAACCTCAATGAACATTCACTTGCAAAATGAATACTCTCCAACATCACTGACTCCTATTTTCTGAGTGTCAGTCTGTGACATCAAGCAGTTGACAGTCAGAAGGTAACCTCTATAGCTGGCCATGCACCGCAGATTTTTGCAATTAGTCTGTTCCCTCATCCATGCTAAAGTTGAAGTCATCTTCCCTGCTGGCTATTGCATTCTGACAGTTGTTACCTGTGGTTGTCAGAATACCTGAACAGTGACTGCACCTAGTTGCAGTCACTGTTCTGTCAACAATTTTCTACACCACTCATTATTTTGTCCAGCCAGGTGGCACCCACTGATCAAATTTCTGCCAATTCACCAGGAAATAGCGGAAATTCTATCTGCGTATGGCCAGCTTAACTCTATGGTACTCTACTTACTAAAGTGTCTGAGCACAACACTATATCTAAAGCTAAATAGGGAGCAAATATAAATCTTTCCTAAGTAAGCCTGCAATTACAACAATTAAAGAATGAGTATTTAAATTTCCATAAAAGTCAAATGGTTCCCATTCAATAAAAACATAAAAGCACCATACAGAGAGCATACACCCCGAGGGCCATGGCAAAGGAACCAAAGCAAAACATTAAGTTGTGCCAAAGACAGTTAGTAAGTCTTCTTTTGCTCTAAATGTTTCATAGTACTGTAAAGGAATGCTTTACCTTTAGGAAGTGCCGTATCTTGTACTGGATACTTGTCTGTCTGTAAAGAGTCAGGCAGCCTATTATTATAACATCATAGAAGAAAAACACTTGCATTGCATAATGACTTCCAAAAACATTTTTACAAACTGACCTGTGCAATTGCTGTACAATGACTTATTAAATCATTTTCTCTATAATTTATTCATGCATGCATAAGGCTATGTCCAGATAGAAGGTAACCTATCTCTCAAGGGGCACAGTGTAAAAAAAGGTATATCTTGCTTACACGATATACCCAACATATTTTATGTATTTGAATGTCATATATTACTGACCTTTAAAGTAGAACTAAAGTTAAAACTTTTTTGTATTGTTCTGGATAGTGTAAGGAAAGATTATAAGCCCTGCCAACTTGTTTTTGCCATCTGTGTCCCATTGGGAAGATTTATTCTTCCTTCCTATTTGATAGCCACAAGAGGAAGTGAGAAGAAATACATTCAAAGTGAGGTAAATCCCAGGTGGTCAGCAGGGTCACCAGAACTAGTGTCTCCATCAGAAGATTTCCTATCTGGTCTAATGATGATCCAAAATTTGGGATTTTCTTTCACTTTCAGTGATAATGGTCACCACGACAGGAACACAGTCTGATTGTACAATCTACTTTAGATCTACCAACAACTATATAGTGCAAGGACCTGCCTGATTGGATACAAATTGATAGGTCCTCATATTACATAGTTTTTGATTGTACAGAGACTTTACAGTCAGATTGTACTATATAGACCCTTATAGGCTTCTCAATAATGCAAAGAGCAAAGTCAATTATTTTGATTTCCAACAGGATGATATGGGCAATTCATCTTTGCTCTTTGTGCTGTTTTATGGATGACCATTGGAAACAAAAAATGAACCAGTACTGCATGGAGATGAATCAGTACTGTTATCAGGGTCACTTGAAGAAGAACTCCAGGAATGTTTTTAAATTATTATTATTATTAGATAGAATTTATATAGCGCCAACAGTTTGCGCAGTGCTTTACAATATAAGGAAGACATTACAATCACAATACATTTCTAGACAAGATGGTAAGGAGGGCCCTGCTCCTGAGGGCTTACAATCTTAAAGGGAGGTAGAAGTGATACATGAGGAGGTAGCTGTGTGGGGATGAATTGTTTGAGAACATGATGGTACAGTGGTTAGGTTGAGGTGGGATAGGCTTCACTGAAGAGATGAGTCTTAAGGGATCGCCTAAAGGCAGTCAAGGTGGGAGATAGACGGACAGGTTTGGGTAAAGAGTTCCAGAGGATGGGTGAGACTCTAGAGAAGTCCTGAGGGCGAGTATGGCAGGAGTTGACAAGGGAGCTGGAAAGCAGGAGGTCTCGGGATGAGCGGAGGGGACGGTTAGGGTGATATTTTGAGACAAGGTTAGCTGGGGGCAGAGTTGTGGATGGCTTTGTAAGTGACTGTTAATATTTTGAATTTTATCCTTTGGGCGAGTGGAAGCCAGTGTAGGGATTGACAGAGGGGGGTTGCAGACACTGAGCGGTTGGTTAGGTGGATGAGTCTAGCAGCTGCATTCATGATAGACTGAAGGGGGATAGCCTGTGTAGTGGAAGGCCAATGAGGAGGGAGTTGCAATAGTCAAGACGAGATATAACAAATGAGTGGATGATTAATTTTGCGGTTTCTTTGGTGAGGAAGGGGCGTATTTTGGAGATGTTGCGAAGGTGAATGCGGCAGGAAGTCGACTAAGGCCTAGTTTGGGGGCTGAAACATGTAAGCATTTGTTTGTTTGCTGCTGTTATACCATTTTACAAATAAAGTACTGGATGGACAGATCCCCTTGTGAGTGCCGGTTTTTTACCTATTGCTGTCGTTACAGCACTGGCGGAACTACCTGGGTCGCAGCGGTCGCAATTGCGACCGGGCCCTGGCGTTCCGCCACTTGGGGGGGGTCCCAGCGAGGAAGAAGAGGGCCCCCCCTCCAGAGAGTTGCCGCTCCATCCCTGCACAGCAACCAGTAGCATGTACGGGCAGCTGTGTGGCAGGGATGCATTGTCGTCCGCAAGCACTCAGACCGTCACAGTTCCTTGCGGCCTCGGCTGCAAGGAACTGTGCCCATATGAGCTGCTTCTCTCCTATCTGCCTCTTAGCTCCAGAGTCTCAGAGAGAGCAGAGTGAACTCTCTGAGACTTCAAAGTGATGAGTCATTCGGAGACGGATGTGTGTGTGTGGGATGCTGGTGACATAGTGCTCACTTTTATGCATTGCTGTATGATGATTATACAGCAATGCAGAATAGCACCAACTATGTGGGACTACAAGTCCCAGCAATGCATTATATTATTAAGTAGGGAAGCACCAGTGCCGATACTGGGCATTTTCACAAGTACTCATACTCGTGAAAATTCCCCGATACTAAGCGCAGATACTGGTGGTCTGTCGAGAACGCCGGCCTAGTCGAGTTTGCCGACCCCAGCATCTGCGCTTGCGCACAGACCAGTATTATTGAGGAAACCGGGATTTATTTACAAAGTATTTCGTTTAAATCGTTAATTGTGACCGTTAATATTATTCCATCATTAACTGCCTTCCATCATTCACTGCCATGGGCGGCATATTATTAACGGTCACAATTAACCATTACAAACGAATATTTTGTAAATAAATGCCAGTTTCCTCGGTAATCCTGTCTGTACGTAAGCGCAGATACTGGGTCGTTTTCTCGACAGAACACCGGCACAAAAATTTTATACAAGCGGCTGCCTGAGGTCCCACGCTTGCTGGGGACCTCGTCAGCCTTTCTGTTAACCATGCGGTGCCATGGCGGCTGGGGGGGCGGGGGAGCCCTTCATGGTTTCTTGCACCGGGGCCCTGAAGGTTCTAGTTACGCCTCTGCTTTACAGTCCTGGGAGCTTTGTGATGACAACGCGGAGGTTGTGTGAGTGACAACACAGCTTCTGCGCTGTCATCAAAGAGCTCCTGAGGCTGTAATGACAGGAACTGGAAAGCATCAGGGGAGGAATATAAAAATGTATTTTAGTGATGTGTTCAGCCTGAACAGTGTAAAGTGGTTACAGGGTCACTTTTAAGCTCATTTAATGCTACATGTCCATCTATGCCTATCCTGTGACAATGCTGCTGTGCGATTTCAATGCAGAACAAACAGTGTTAAATTATGTAGAAAATCAACAGACATACTGGCAGGATCAACTGGTAATTAGACAATGATACAGTGGGCGGGAGGGGAGGGGAGACAAACAAAGACAAAAACCAAAACAAAACAAAAATTGCTGTTTTCATGCTGGAAATAAATATATCTTATATGTACTTTTTAAAATTTTGCCCATAGTTTCACTTTAAAGCCTATGTTTATTCAGTTTTAGGCTAGGGCTACATTGGCAATAAAATCTCTTTGCTACTCTCATATTTTTAAATCTGTAGCTTTCTTTACAACATGGTCTTTGTTCAAGTACTTCCTGTATTGTCGCTATTTCACACAGGCTTCCAATGGAGACTACAAGTGGCCATTTCAGCCTTTTGTACCTTTTACCTGGAGATGCAGCCATTAAGTCTGTTATTTTTCAGCTTCCTTCCTTTACCAGGCCAAGCTGTTCAGCAGGGGCGTCCCAAGGCCATGTGTCACCCGGAGCGGTTACCGGGTGACACCCCGCCATGACGTCATCGCACGCGATGCCGTCATCACGCTTCTTATCGATACCTGCCAGCGGCCATCTTGGTGATGGACGCCGGCAGAGAGAGGAGGGGACAGTCACCCGGCGGGATAAGGTATGCCGCAAGGTCCCTTCCTCTCTCCCGAAACTGTCGGGCGCTTGGTCCAAGTGCCCAACTTTTCAGAGGGGGTGACACCAAAATGACTGCCATTCATTTTGGTGTCACCCCTCCAATGGTGTCACCCAGGTGCAGTAGTAGATATATGCAAAAAAAAAAGGAGGTTTAATTCTACTTTAAGAGGAGTTGGATGGAGATTTCTACTTCATCCATGTCTACAAACGACTTTGATGCTGCTTCTGCTTCTAAATACAACCAAAAAATATAAAAGGTAGGAATTTTGAAAATCTTTTAAACATTTTATAACAGTATACCACAAGCAGTCTTTATATAAATGTATTTGTACTTGTGGAACTAAGCCAGAGACTAGAAAGTTTTTTGATGGTTTTAATTTGAAATGTATTTTTGTATCCTTCACTAAGGCCTGTACTTTGGAAAATGTCCGCCACAGCCTTGATCCGTGCCTATATAGGGACTCCCTATCCATCTTAGCCTCATAGTTTCCTGCAAATTGTTTTCCAAAGCAGCACGTGTTTTTTAAGAATGTGTGTGAAAATATATAAAGGAAAATAGCTGTGCAAATATACAGTAGCTAGAAGAAACTTAAATTGACTTACTGTCTCAAACAATAGTGTGCTGGGCTCCGTGTCCTCAACTGGTTCTTTAACCTCATGATCTGCTGAAAAATACATGTCAGGTTAAAAGCCATAGGAAAGGGTTCTCATATACTTGCATTTTAATAGTGAGCAAGAATGACTAGGAGTGTAATATGTGTCTATCCTCTGTTCGGCACACTGCAACATTTGAATGCTGCACATGCTTAATGGAAGGATTATTCCCTTTCATATGAACTAAGGGTAATTACTAATTAGTCACAGATTTCGAAAAATTTCCCTGATCTTCATTTTGGTGCTAGTTACTATTTGGAAATTTAAAGAGGAACTTTACCTTTATGCTGAAAATGACAACAAAGACATCTTTAGAAATGTTTAGTAATGGCAATCTACAAACTAGGGATGCATCGAAATGAAATTTTTAGACCGAAACTGAAAATAAAAATGTTGTCAGGCTTAAAACCGAAAATGACTTTTTTTTCCAACCTTTTTAAAATGTTTACATTATTTTCATTATTTTTTTACTTTACTGGAGGGGGCTTTTGGGGTAATATCAGGGGATCTAAACAGATCCATGATATTTCCCTTTTAAATAGAAAAAGAGATTTTCTGCAGCCCTTGTTTTGAATGAACAGGAAGCCTCCATACTGAGTGCTCCTGTCCATTCATAAACTATGAAAATAGTATCAGTTACTATGTCCACAACCATGAACGAACAGGAAGTGATGTAGAGCACTTCCTGTTCATTCGTAACTGGGGACACCGTAAGCATACTATGTCCTCTTTTATTTACAAACACTCAGCGATCAGTTCTGATCGCTGAGTGCTTGTAATCCACTCTCTATCCTGAGTCACCTTTTACAGGAGGCTGAGGATGGTACGGGAGGAGAGCTCGGCCTTTTGTGACAGCTGACAGCTGTCTCCTCCCTGGACTGCCCCGCTCGGCCTCCTGAGGGCTGCCTTCTCCCCACACGGGGGAGAGCAGCGGGCACAGGAGGGGACACAGACTGGCGCCCAGTGGAGAGCTTTGAAACTGTCAGGATGCAATTCATTTTCAGCCGTTATGGTAATATCAGCAATTTGCCCATAGTACCATTTTCAGACAAAATTTCCGATGGCCGAACTTTTCGGTACATCCCTATTACTATATATATTACTATATATATTGTGGCATTGTGAGGCAATACCACGGTGTTAGGTGGCCTCAAAGTCACCCAGGGTTCTCAGCCAGAGGGGCTGAGTGGCTCCAGGAAGACATTACTGGTACCAGGAGAGAACTGCCTTTTCAGTTCTTTCTGGGTTTTCTGGATCAAGGTTGGGATCCTGGAGCCAGGAGATTTCTTAGAGCTCTGGGTGGGAAGAAATCTCCATTCCTGGGTCCATGCTTTGGTGGTGACCAGCACCTGATTGTGCACCTGTGTACATCCTTCATGAAGTGTGTGCTGGGATGTGTTCAGGGCCCCACCTGTGAGTCAGGAGAGCTCCACCCTGGAGTCAGTGGAGGCCAGTGCAGCAGGGAGCTGCGGGGTTTGCGAACCATATTGAGAGGATTGGCATGTTATTGCTGTTGTCTGGAGGAACCAGACAGTGGCCCTAAAGATTGAGGCCGGAGCAGCAGTGCTGCAAGAGAGACAGATGTCGGTGAGCCCTTATCTGTTATATGCTACAGCAAGCTATTTATGTTGGATTTCATGTTATCTACCGTTTTGAAAGCAAATAAACTGCATCTGACTTGCACCTCCGGTCTACAGTGGAGTGTCCTTGTTACAATATATACTTATAGATAACTGCAGTCTTTTTATTCTTTGCATTTCTTATTTTTCTTTTCCTCATCATTTTTCTCACACTGGACATTTTCACTAAGGGGAAATGTAATCCACCTACCTCTACTTCCTGAAACTCTGACTAGTACATGTGACCATGCACATCATCTCACGGGAAAAAAATGCCTTTCCCTGAAATCTCGCAAGATTTTGCAGTTTACAGATGAGATTTCCCGGCAATGCTCTGCTTGTATAACCTTCCCAGGAAGACATGGGCTACATCAGAAATGCCTAAGAGGACCAGGAAGTGGAAAAACAGTAATTGTAAGTAAAATAAAAATATGTTTAACTAATGAATGTAACATGATTTCATATCAGCATGGAGAGCTGCATGCTAATGTGATTTTTAGTGAAAGGGGTTAAAAGTCAACTTTAGCCTAAACACTTTACTAACTAGTCAGTAGCAGGCAAATGTGCTAGCAAATATTCAGCTGTAGAGAGTGACCATAGAAAGGAAACGTGTAGACAGCATAAGGTTGCGGCTTACGCCGATGACCTGCTGCTATATGTTACGCACCCAGAAATCTCCCTACCCAATGCCATGCACGCGATCCGCGCATATGGACAACTGACTGACTTTAAGCTGAATTGGAGTAAATCGGAGGCGTTGAATGTATCACTCCCAGAGGGGCGAAGAAAGGAAACGTGTTTTCTGTAATGATTTGTGTAAACTCAGCATCTTGAGATTGCTAGCTTTAAAATAAAGAAAGAATTTCCAGGCACACATATCTGTTCATCTAACTTCCCATGACACCATTTCATACAATACTACTTTGGATGCAGGGTCGGCCTTTGGGGTGTTCGAGCTGTGCGGCCGCACAGGGCGCCATGGATTCTGTGCGTGGCCAAGCGGAGGATTGGTAAATATCAGTAATATTTACAGTTCCTCTGTGCAGCGCAAATACTGGAGTAATCAGCTGATTACTCCATTGTTTGTAAATAACTGGGGACACATGTCAATGAACATCACTTCCTGTTCCTTCATGATTTTATGAATGGGGAGTAGCACTCTGTACAAAGGCTTTTCCCCATTCACAAACTGCTTGATAGTAAATATTTTACTCTCATCAGTTTCTGAATGAATGGGAAGCCTCTGTACTGAGTGCTTTCCATTCATTTAGAACAGAGGCTGCAGAAAAAGAATTCAAGTCTCTGTGTCCTCAATTTCTTTATCTATTTTAAAAGGGAAATGTCAGGGGTCTGTTTAGACCCCCAATATTTTCCCCGAAGCCCCCCCAACAGTACAAAAAACATGAAAATAAACAATTATTTTAAAAAAGTGAAAATTATCCCCCCCACATGTGCAAAGACTAAAAATTAATTTCAGATGAAATGAACGAAAACTAAAAACGTTTTCATCCGTTTAATCAAAAACTAATTTTTATGCTATTTTGGATTCAGCCATTGGCGTGTTCTGGAGGCAGGGCGCATGACGTCATATGACACCAACATGGTCGCCGCGCATTCTCAAACAAATTATTATGTGCCTGAATAAATGTTTTCGTATATTCGGGCAAATAGTAATTCATTAATTTAACATGTAGTCTAGGTTTTGTGTTCTGTTTTCTATTTTTACTTTTCTAGATGCACTTACTTGAAAAAAGGGTCTTCCTGACATCCTGACACTTTACCACTTGTTTGCCTAGAGTTGTTTTATTTAATAAGAATACTTATATTGTGCCTACAAGTTTAATACCTTTGAATAAAAGTTTTATTTTTATCATACTTTTTAATATATTTCTTTGGGGCTTAACAAAGTGGGAGTCTTTAAATGGTGTGGATATTTGAGAAATGGGTGTGGCCACTGAGGGGTGTGGTTACTGAGGGGCACTGTAAAGGACGGCCCTGTTTGGATGTCTACATTCCTTATGATTCCTTATTATATCACATAAATAAATACATATATATTGATAAAACAGACTATCGGGGTTTCATAGATATAGACTCCAGAAAGAAACAGACCTGAAACTGTCAGGAAAGTGGATCTCTGTCCTTTTAAGGAGTCAGACCTGGAGTCTAGCCAGGGAAAGAGTGGATGGGTTCCCTAGCCAATGTTTTATAGGAGGTTTTTGTTTTTCATCTGTCTGAGAACTCACATATACCTGAAAAAAGTTAGTTTCCAATGTGTTGGGTATGTGCAGCTGTGCCAGCAAAAGGAAATACAGCTTTTTAGTTACTTCCTGGATTTGGTAATGAGCATCTGCAATGTGTTAATCTTGGCTGCCAACGATTTGGAAAAGTGGGTAAGAAAACCCTTAAACTGAACTTTCCCTGTGGAATGTGACTGGTGTGTTTAAGTTGCGATGTTGGTCTTGTATTCTGAGATCCTTTTTTTTCTTGCTATTTGATACTCTAACACAGTCTTGTCGAACATGTGGCCTTTCCTGCAGCGTGCTAGGGATCTACCTGCCCGCACCTTCAGCAGACCACATGGAAGGTGCCCAGGTCTGTAAACAGGTGGCGTTGCTGGTGGCAGGAGTCATGGCTGCAGCTGAGTACAGTGCCCACCCACCCACTGTCTATCACTCTCAACTGTAGCCAAATCCAGGCAGTGACAGATGGTGGTCGTGCAGTGTATATCTGTGGTACGGGGAATGCGCCTCTCTGCAACTGGTTTGGCGGAAGGGGTGGCAGTCACACATTTTCTCAAGATGTGGCTGAAACATAAATCGGTTAAACATGGTATCAGGAATCAAGTTTCAAGGTCCTTACTCATTGGTGAAGGACTCCTCAGGTGTTGCATGTTATGTTTCTATCTATGTCAAGCAAATGCTGGTGATGTGATCTGGATGATGGGGATCTACTACATATATTGTGGTCATGTGCATCTCTCAAACATTTCTGCTCTGAGGTAATCCAGACTTCTCAAAATTTTACAGATTTCACAATCCCAGCAGACACAGCTTTCTTTTACATTACAACTCATTACCTAGGCAAGTTTACAAACAATCTATCCCGCCGCATTTCAATAATGCGGCAAGGAGCTGTATACCAGAGCTTTGGAAGCAGAAGCATACCCCCTCCATATTAATGTGGTTTTCTGGAATAAATGAGATTGAGAGGATGGAGGATTTAATGGCCTATAGCAGGGGAACTCATGAGAAACACTGGCGGACTTGGTTTTACTGGAAGTAGTTTACACTACTTAGGAGTACCTGGTTCTCTTAGGCAATACCTACTCGTAAATACCTAACCTGGCTCTTTGACTGATAGGCGGAAAGAGGGGTAACCCTATCTTTATG